CGATGACACTTTCTAGTACTTACGTTTCTCGGTTATTGCTAATTTAGTTATCTAATGACTTAGTTAATGATTTTTTAATCCATATATCTCCTCGTTGCAATGATATCAATTCTGGATTTTCAAAACAATGATATTATTTTGCAGCTAAAAATGTAACTCATTTTAAAAATACGCGGAGGTCAATTGGAAATATCATAATAAAATATATAAAATTTGCTACTATAATGGGCCCAAGCGGACGGGTTCATTAATAAGGATAGATCCTTCGGAGATAATTTTAGAAATGAATATCTCTCAGGGAGAATCAAGTACTTTATTAAACTTATATTAAACGATTTATTTAATAAATAGAGTCTTTCGTCTGATCCCGTAAATATCAGGCATTTATAAATTACAAGAAAGCGACTTAACGAATCGGCGTATTACTAAAATAAAATTGACTGTCTCTGAGAAACTGATTAACTGACCTAGAGGCAACGAATTCACGAGTTTATATTTCATCATCATTATTGTCTGATTCAGTATTACATGAAAAACTACTGAAATTTCTATCTGAATATTTGAAGAGTGTAAACAAATTTTTGTTGAGCTACGTGAAGGGAATACAATTCAAATCTTTTATTACAAATGAAACGGCATCTGTTCTAGCACCAGACAATGACCCCCCTCAGAAGATGGGCAATCTCTCCCTTCAACCAACAGAAGAAGAAATAGCGGAAGCTCAATCAAAACGTTCAGAAGCAGTGTCAGCCTTCTCAGAGAAAGATTACGAAAAGGCATTGGCTCTTTACACAGAAGCAATAACTCTGAATCCCCAAGCAACCCTTTTATATGCTAAACGTGGTCAAATTTATCTTCTACTGAGTAAACCAAATGCTTGCATCCGTGACTGCGACAGAGCTATCGATCTCAACCCAGACAGTGCAGCAGCCCACAAATTTCGAGGTCGTGCCCATCAACTCCTGGGTAATTGGGAAGAAGCAGCAACTGATCTTCGACTCGCGTGTCAATTCGATTTTGACGAACAGGCAGACGAGTGGCTTCGTGAAGTTACACCCAATGTAAGTCAATTCCTTTTTAAACCTAAATATCTATTTATCAGATTTGTTTTTAATATACACAACATCATATTCATTATATTAAACACAAGGAGAAAACTTTTAGAAGCAAAATCCGCCACACACAATCTTATTTAAAAACGGAGATACATACAACAATATTCCTACTTAAACCTAGAGATTAAAATAACGTTTTAAATTAATTGAAGGCGTAATCAATTCTCCAGTGAAGTGATGAAACGTAATATAGTATAGTTCGTCGAGTATTCCTTCTTCGGTAATATCACTCATTATATTCCTTTTGGCATTATCTCTTCGTACTTAACAATTTCACTGAAGAATTGAGTTGATTGAACCGATGGGTTCGTCGCAGTTCTACAAAAATTCGTATCTGTTTCGATAAATTTCTCTTATTGAATCAATGATTCAGCACTGATCATGAAATTCCATGATTTTCAATTCATTCCATTATCATTGTAGATAAATAAATAGTTGTGTATATGCTAGAAAAAAATGCATATAAATAGCGATGACGCATTTTTTCGCCAAACAAACAATTACATAAATTAAATTTCATGTATTCTTATTTTCACTATTTCTTTTTCTTTCTTCACCACGTGAATACATTAATTTCTTTTTATTATCTAAATGTTACATTCATAAGTCGCAATGGATTGGATTGAACAAAGGAATAACAATTGGATATAGGAGATTTTTGTCAAATCTTTGTTGATTATTTTCAATGATTTTTCGTTGCCTTGCGCTGCCCGCAGCCAAGACATACAATAACGGAGAGAGCAATTTATCGATGGATTTCAGAAGGTGCAGACGCAAGCGAATGCGACAGATTTAATGATGTCGATGTGCGCACTTTTTAATTAATGAAGATTAGAAAAATGTTTTTTTTTATTGTCTTCCGTATTTTTTTGGTTTGCTCTTCTTTGTGGCTTTGAATTTAACTCTCAACTTGTTGGAGGCTGGTTGGATGCTTCCTCTGCATTCACTGTTGCTTCAACGAGTTTCTTGTACTTGCCAACAAGCTCTGGTAAATCATAAGCAATAGCCACGTCCAACCTGTTGATTGGACAGCCACGGAAGTACGTGCAAGTGGAACTGAGAGATGGAAAATCGTAGAGGGAATTCAAACGGAAAAAATCTCTGTATACGTCCGGATCGGGGAGATCGTAGCGTGAGATATTCGTCAATGTACTGAGACCTTCGTAGATGTGATAGTTTTGGGGATTCTCTATTATTCGGTCGCTTATTTCTTTTTTGTTACCGAAGAAAGTCTTGTGGTTGTAGTAAGTGGTTAAATAACAATCTACCATTTTTGCATGGTTGCGAACACGTACCTGAAAATTATTGAAAGGATTCATGACAATAATTGAGAGAGATTGTTGTTTGTGGAATTAAGTTTCATTCTGCGGAGGGAAAATTGAAATAGAAATTCTAATCCGTATAATTTGATGGTCAAGTATAAAACTTATGCAAGAAATCGTGGATCAATTTCATATAGAGAGTCAGAGAGAACGAGACGAGAAGAATGAAAATTTTCTAGAAACTTTAGTTTTGTTGAATATTTCTTCTTGTTTAGTTGCGGTTTAAAATGAAATTCGAGGGATTATTTATACCACGTACAAAATATTGGATGGAGCTGACAAACTTCAAATCAACTGATCTATGCAGAGAAAAATTCAGTAAAATGAATTTAAAACCTGACCGTTTGATAATCGTGTTGTCTTTTAGACGTTGTGATTTCTCCTGTCGAAAACCTGTCGTACCGCTCAGTAAAATTTGTGATGTACTCAGTAATTGTTATTTTTCCATTTGAATAAAAATTCCCTTACTTTTAGGTAATTTTCTTCAAACGGCTAGCTAACTTCTGCTAAGTAGTCGAAAATTTCTTCTGAACGGTCCAATAATTTTCCCCAAAAGGATAGATAATCTTTATTTACTGTTCCACTCAGTGTAGAATAGAAAAAATGAAGTGAAAGTATTGAACCAAGTGTTGATATTGAAAAGAAAAGAAATGGTATGAACTTACGGCGAATCTCCTAGCACTAGCTATTTTGTGTTCAACTCTTTTGTCAATAGCAGAGCGCAAATCCCTCAGAAAAGCTCTTTCCTGTGCATAAAGAAGTCGCGTTGGTGCACCAGCTTCATAAGGCAATGACCACAAAGAAGTAGAATACATGATTGGTGGCTCAGCACTCGACATCAAGGGTGATATGTTCCAGATGAGTGCTCCTTGGACTCTCATGAGCTCTTCCGGTTTCACTTGGTCGGCTTTATTTAAAATTATTCTTGTCTGGTACTCTCTTCCCTTGAGCTGATCGAGAATCGCCTCGGTTTCTGGGCCAACGTCCAATTTCGATGGATCATAAACGAGGAATATTATGTCGGCTCTGTCAATGAACCACTGACAGGCGTCGTTGAAAGGAAATAGACGTTGAACTTGTTTACGAATCTCGAGAATTCCTGGAATTTCTACTATATTAACCTGAAAATGAGACAAAATTCCTCGTTAATACCGAATAGTACCAGAAGTAATACCATCTATTCCTTATTAAAATGAAAAAGTAAGTAACTAAGTGGGAAGTTAGTTATTCAAAGTCTTCAGGATAATCTTATTAAGAATGAACTTGAATTTTTATAGTTCATTCGTAATTGTTGCCACACACCTTCTCGAGGAGTTTATGCGAAAGCTTCAAACCTCGGAGACGGTCCAGCATACCCTGGCCAAATTTCTGAAGTCCCGAAAACGTCCAATCAGCAGCCAATTGTGTACCATCTAGCACCTCTTCTTCTTCACCGTGCATTACAATATTGAAGTACGCAGGCGAGGGTTCCGCTCCTGCATCGATTCCCAAATTATTTCACAAACATAAACTATTAAGTCTTAGTCTCTGGATTCCTAATTAATTGGCTCACCTGTTCTGAGTGCGGCTGGCGTGTACTCTGTGTCCAGAAGGTAATTTATTATGGACGATTTTCCGCCACTCCATGGGCCCATGAATAGCACGAGGGGTTTCGAGAAAATCTCCGGATCTGTAGAAAATTAATGTGAAAACATTACTAAAAAATATTATGAAGATAATTTAGTGAGGATTTGATAGAACTATTTTTGGAAAAGTTCTATTAATTTTTTCATGCTGCAGTGCACAGTCTTTTTATTTTCTTTTAGAAAGCTTTTTTTCCAAATTGAAAGATTGTCATAACAATATTTCATAAGCCAACCCAAGTTTTCATCTTTGGTAGAAATGGAATTTCTGGAGAAATCTTCCCTACAAATACTGATAGAAATGAGTCTATGACTGATACCCCAAAAGGAAGTAGCAAATATTGAAGTACAAAATTACTTCATCATTAAATAGACAGAAGAGATTCCTCTTACCTCCGAAATGTCTATTGCTCAGATCTCTGTACTTGTAAAGGCTCTCCAGAGGTTTGATAGCAGTATCATAGAGCCTCTTCAATTCTTTAAGAATTACATCAGAGGCTTTCTCAATTGCCGCTTCTTTAATTTCATGATCCTGATCTAACCGAAGAATTTGATTAAGATGCTCCTTGGGTCTCAAATTCTCGGGGATTTCAATCTCTTGTATCAATTCTTCCTCGGGGGTTGACTCGGTAGACTCTGCATCTTCTTCGTCGTCTAAAAAAATTAAAGTAACTGTTGAAACATTTGAAGTTTGAAGTTTAAAGTTGGAACCAAAATTAATTACGAAAAAACTCTTCATAGATGTGTCAGAAATTGATGGATTCGGTAGAATTCTTTCAAGATTGATAAAACTCTCATGGAAGAAGAACAGAATTTTCCTCAACCTAATTAATTCTCTTGAATCCACCAATCCCTGGAATATTTAAGAAGTAACAATTGCCCACCTTCTTCATCATCATCTTCCTCATTTTGAGAAAGCTTTCCCTCCTCTTTGTCTTCCTCGTTCTTCTCTTCACTTTCTTCTTCTCCTTGTTCTCCTTTTTCTTCACTTACAGTTTCTTCTTCAGCATCTCCTTCCTCTCTGCTCTTCGCCTGCTCATCGCTTTCACGAGTTTCCTGCAATTCTTCCGCTTCTACACTCTCAGCCGTCTCCTCCTTCGATTCCCTTTGATCACTCTCTTCTCCTTCGGTATCTACCTCTTGAGTATCTGCTTCCTCCTCCTGTGTATTTCCAACCTCTTCAACGGACTTCTCACCTTCTTCAGTCGTTTCATTTTTCTCCTCACTTTCTTCTTCTCTCTCCTTTTCTTCTTCCCTCGTTTCGTTCGAATCCCCTTCAATCTCCTCGACCGTTTCTCCCACATCGGCTACCTCTTCAGATTCAGATTTTGCTTCATCAGGTTTCTGCTCCGATTTTTCATCGTCATCGCCTCAAAGAAATATAACAGAATATAAATATAATAAAATATAATAATAATACCTTTCCGGCATATTGGGTGATATCGAAAGAAATCACTTAAAATTTTTCTTCGACCCAATTATTATTTTTTCTAATATAAAAAAACAATTAATTCCAATATCTATTGCGATAGTTACAATAAAAATTTACTTTTTTGCATTTCTTCCTCGCCTTCAACGGAGTCGATCTGTTGCTCCCCAGAGGCTTCTTTGGAAGGATCATCTGCCTCCTCTTGGGTGCCCTCCTTGGAATCTTCCCCCTCTGATTTCGTCGTCTCCTTGGAATCTTGGTCGTCATCTTGAAGAGACACTTCTGCTTCTTCTAAAAGTTCTTCGTTCTCTGTCACTTCAACAGTTCCTTCACCAGATTCCTTTTCGTCTTCAATTTCTACTGTTTCTAACGTCGCTTTTTCATCGTCATCGGTTTCTTCGGTTGGATCGTCCGCCTTGCTATCATCCTCTTTCTGATATGAATTTGTTGTTTGTTTGTTTGATATTGTCAAGAAATAACAGGAAAATTGGTTGAGCGATCGACAACTTCTCGATGATTTAGAGGGAATTACTTACAGATTCGAGTGAGGCTGTGGTCAATTGTTCATCCTCTTCACCAGCTTCGCTGCCTTCATTCTCCTGACTCCCTTCATCAGCAGGTCCTTAAAATTAAATCATCTGAGATTCCACCTCTGTCTATTGTTCATTAGGATTGAAATTGTAAAATGAGTTGAGTCAAATAAAAAAAATTCTGCGCATCATGTGAGCACATTGGAAATTAGTAATTCCTCTCAATATCATTGCGCATTGAGATAATTCCATGATAAACAAGATGCTTCATATTGGCTCACACAATTTTGTCCTTTCCGAACTAAAATATCTGTAAACACCCACCCGTTTGACGATCCTTCAGAGCTTTTTCGATATACGGTCGACATTGGACTTCAGACAGCACCTGATCCACTTGATCATCACCTTGCACAACTACAAATCATTTTTATTATCTAAAATAACTTCAAGCTTCTCCCAAAAAACATTAATATCGATAAAGATGATAAAAATGAGTAGTAATAAAGCTTCTAGATTAGTTACACTCCCCCAATATCCCATATTCAGGAAAAAGTGTTGGACTTTCTTCTAGAAGAATGAAGATTGATCATGACCTCATGATGAGCATATCTTCAATTTCCCAGGCAATCATGATCTCCTTATTCTTTCCAATATGATATTAACGAGGAAACGATGTAGGAAAGGTAGATAAAGACACAAGAGTGTTAAAGCCGGAGTTGGATGACGCCCGTGGTCGACAAAAATATCTGACCTGCCAGATGACGCAAGTCGAGGGACGCTAAAGTAGATAATTGTAACCGGTTGATCGATACCTTTTCACCTCGCCGTCATCGTCATCTTTTTTTAACGGTGAATGACAATTTAACAGACAGGTGGTCCGAAGGAGACTGTCTTGGTAATCGACCCCGTTGATGCTGATGACCCTGAATCCACACCTATTGAACTTGTCGAGTAGGGCCAAGAATTCGACCACTCACGTCATTGTACCCAACTCAGTATCCAACTTGTTGCTTTGAATCTCGTCAAGTGACTATTTGTTTTCATAATGGATATTGCGCAGGTGAATTTGAGGTGGATGATTAGGTGAAGGCAAAGAATGGAGTAATAGATTTTTGAGAAAAGGATCTAGGGCAATATTGATATGTTGGGGCTATTTAAAGCATCACATGAAAGCATTTCAGTTATTTGAAAATGTTTGAGCTGTGGATGAGTGTGTACTGAAGCACACGGTCAAGTAGGTGGTGATCGCCTCCCCGAGACATCTAAGTTTAGACAGTCGGGTAGGCGGTTTCACCAGGTTTCATGGCCCACGGGCCGAGTACCGATTTAAATATATTTTCTATGTATGCAATGTATCACTCAGACACGTTCATCAATTTTTTTCCTCTTCCCCACTTCGAGAAGTGGTATTCTTCCAATAGTCTAATTAAATTCAATTGTCTTCATTCTCTTCTATTTCTAGCAGTAGATGTTATTATATGATGACATTTTTTGAACAATCAGCTTAATCATCATTGTTCGGATTTTGAGGGAAAGCTGGAGAAATTCAGAAGATTAGAACATTTTTCAACATCAACAAGAGGACAAATGGAGTCGGTGGGATCGAGTCGAAGAAGAGGGTAGGAGTAATGCAGGTCTTACATAACATTGACCTTCGTCAGTGAATCGTCTTCGTCTACGTCAGTAAACATGAGGATGCCATGATGCCGTAACGCTATGACATCGTGTTACAATGACCCAATTATCAAAAGCACAGAATCCAAAAGATCTAAAATTTTTCACAGAATTCAACGAGAGCAGGTTGACCTTGTGCTTCATACAATAGACAATAGTCTTCTTTCAAGACTAGATGTTATAAATAATGCTGGTAAAGCTATAAATAATTGTCCGGAATGATGGAAAATTCCATGTTAAATATTGAAAGTATTGGAAATAATTACTCGTAGCAAAAGCGATAGAGCTGACACTTTGGATGAGGCATGACAAATGAGTTGACACTTTTGATGTGATTATCTAATAGGCACTGTTTGTAATTGAAGGAAGTTACTCACCCTGCAAGGCCACGGTCAGAAGTGCAATAATGAGGCCCAGGAGCAGTGCAGGCCTCAGCCTTACTGAGCCGGTCATTATTTTTCGTTGTTAATTGTTAATTAGCCACAGACACTTTTTGTTTTTATTTAAAATGGGTAAAAATTGTATAGCTGTCCCGATTGAGACAGCTCTTAACACCCTCTTGCACTAAACAGTCCCGGTAAGTTAACTGTCCCTCGTCCGACATCCAAGATGAACCACCAAATCCCCTTCGGGTACCGACTAAATCTACTTTAGTGCCGTACCCGTAGTCCGCCCTACCTCGTTTTCGCTCGTACAGCGCTGGCTACCTCGCAATTTCTCGCCATCTCTCTTTTTCTTTTTTTATTTACCTGTATAGATCAATTTTTGGCTATTACCTCCAGGCCAATTATCAATTCTCTTACGATCTCGTAAACTAGGATAAATGTCGTTTTTTGGGCCCCAGTTTTTAGCGATTATCGCGGAACTGAAGGAGATGATGGTCTCTTCATCGATTCCTTTTCTGTACATCTCATGATTCTCTACGATGTTTATGCAAAAAAAAATTCGATTCGTTCCTTCAATCCAGAGATATTGGCTAGAGCCTGGATTCGAAAAAATTAACTTATCCTAGTTTATTTAATTATATTATTATTATTCTTATCTAGAAATTTATAGGAATGTCAGAATTTCTTGAGGCAATCAATTTTTTAATGAATAATTTCATTTAATAAATTTTTAATTAATAATTTAATTTAATAAATTTCAGAGACGCCTCAAACAATCCAGAGTATCTATTAGAATTTATATTTTATATTTAAAATTTGATAAATTCAAAAATATTTCAAACTAATCGAATCTCTACATAATAGTATTCCAATTGTTATTTAATATTCTTTATTTGTAGCATTCGTGCAGTGGATCAAATTTTAGAAAATAGTTTAATACGCAGGAACAGATACTTTTCATTCTTCATAAATTAAAGATGAACCGAAAAAGATAAAGATTATTTTCACAGATTACAATTGCTCTAAACACCTCAATAGCTGCATGGATTCCTCTCGATCCATTATTCTCTTTTCTGGTCACTCTTGCCTACGACATTTCTCTCCTGGTCATTTATCACTCCTAATATATTTTACTTCAACTTCTTTTCTTTCACTCTCTACCTTGAGATCTTCGCTTTTCGTTTGTGGATGCAGAACGCAGAAACAGATATTTTCCATTCTTGATAAATTGAACCGAAAAAAATGATTATTCTCACAACATACGCCGGAAGTATAATGGAAAATTTGAAAAGAAAATTCAAAGTAATCTAGAGATACTTTCAAATTCCAATGATTATTTAAGGCCCGGATGGACTGTCTGGAAAAGATAATTTACTCCGAAATTCGGATTCCTAGTTACTTTGGCAATTAATCGTTTTTTTCAATAATTGTTAGCTAGCGTTCTAGCGGTTGTCAACAACTAGGCCGCTAGCTAACAATTATCGGAAAAAACGATTAATTGACGGAGTAATTAGAAGTCCCAATTTTGGAGTAAATTATCTTTTCCAGACAGTCCATCCGGGCCTTAATGCAATCTAATGACTTTCTTCATTCTCAAAAAATCTTTCATTACTCGATTCCCCATTTTCTCTTATTTCCTTCATGCGTAATATCATAATTCGTATGCATAATACATAATAATCTCAATTATTAATATCAATCGATTAGGTTTCAGCCCTTAATGTCTCCCCGTTTTTCATCAATGATAATCATCCTTCGACATTCGTCTGCATTTATTAAGAACATTTAATAATGAGCTCCCGATTATTGATGATTATCGACAATCGATCAACTCCACTCGCGTTAATCATTAACAAAGTTCTTCTTGATGTTTATCTTCTGCGAGAATTCAATATTACATTTCTAATATTTATCCTATTTTCAGTGTTTATAATGGCAGGTTCGTTTGCTCAATTCTTAGGACATTTTTTTTATTTTTACATCAGTTATTCTAAGAATTCTGTGTGCCTTCAAAGTCTAGTAATAAAACTACTGGTACAATTTTACTGTATCAAAAGAAATCCCGACAGTTTTTTGAGGCCCATTAAAAATTACCCCTCGTTTAAAAACTCCGTCTAGAGTTTCCAGTAAATCTGTTTCTCTGATTCATATGATTATAATTATCGATTTCATAGTCGTCAGACAAAGTTATTTTTTAACCTTCTGACAACCATAATTTTTTATTACATCATTTGCAAATTCTGTTTTACAGCTGGTGTAATTTTATTTAATCCATCTATTATTTATTATACTTCCCGTGTTTTCGGAAATAGCAATACCTACTGAGTTTTTACTTATAGCAGTGAAAATGATTTTTGAAATGCAGAAAATGCTTTTTTGATGAACAATTAACGAGTTACATCTGCAACCCCATTTTATTTCAAACTGTACAGAATTTTTTTTCTGTAGAAAAATTTCAAGACTGTTAACATGACCGAACGGACAGAAAAAGTGAGTAAAAATTACCGAGTAAAAATCTATCCGTTTGATAACTATATTGTTTTTTAACTGTTTGACAAAATCTACTTAATTATTAGATAATTTTTCCAAAACAGAAACACAACACGATTGCCAAACGGTTAGGTAATTTTTATTGAATTTTTCTCTCCGTACACCGAACATGTTAGTGATAATATACATGATAATATACATATAGTAAGAGGTGAAGCGTCTCGCGGTCGAGCGCCTTTATATTTAGACGTGTCCGGGCCGCCGCCGTATAAGGTTCCTCAAATATTCATCTCCGCTGCCTGTTGAGATGCCCATCTTGCCTGCGATTTCCATTTTTGATCGTTCCACCAGCTAGGCCTTTTATTGTCCTCGCAAATCTCTCGGCGCTGTTGACCTGTGGGCCAAGTGAGGTCAACATGTGGCACTTCAACTTATCCCAAAAGTTTTCTTCACCTTCATTCCACCGATGTCTTTCATTTCGACTAATTTATTTGTCATTGCTTTATTTAAAAAATCCTTAATTTTCCATAGGCACGTAAAATCGAGGAGCACAAGCGTAAGAAAGAGCGCAGAGCTCTGGAGAAGAAGGAAAAATCTTATCAGAAAGCACAGAGACAAGCACGTGAGGCAGCCAAAGCACGTGAAGCGAACTCACGTCCATCACAAACCGATGATGGACCAGGAAAAACAGGCATGGGTGATTTCTATCAGTATCTCAATGATCCTGAAGTTCTCGCGGCATTCCAGGTAACAAGACAATCATTAATCAATATCCAAATACCTATTTACAATAAACAAACTTATACTTCTGTCTATCACACATGATTAGATTAAATTTGCCATTACCATACATTTTACATTTTTGTCATAGATTACTCTCCAATATTCTATTATTACAAAGTTAATAACTAAATCACCATGAGTCAGTAATTATTGATATTTGATGGAATGATATGCAACATCTTGCGTATGGAAAATCGAATACATGATTTACATGAAACTTTCTCGACATCTCACAGGATCCTGAGGTATCAGCTGCTTTTCTCGACATCTCATCGAATCCAGCAAATATTCTGAAGTATCAGAAGAATCAAAAAGTCATGGATTTGATCAACAAAGTGGCCTCAAAGTTTGGTGGTGCAAGTGGCTTCGCCGGAATGACAGATCAGATGCCTAGTGGATTCTTTGGTGGTACTGATGCGCCACCAAAGCCATCTGCACCGAGAAGCGATGACGATGTTGGCCTTGACTAAAAGTGCATTATACCCCACTTGAAATCTCTTGTTTACCTTTCACTCAAGTTCATTGTCGCAAAGCATTGTTTTTTTTTTATTAATTCCTTCTAATGCTGTCTACTTACCATTCCCGGGATAATTACTGCTTAAATCGTAATGATGAAATACGATTAAACATTGAATATGTATGAAATTGTTTACCATCCATATACTAATGTATATATCGACGAGTTCATTTGTACTTTTGCGAAGATTGATACAAGGACACATTGTATTCTATTACTTTTATAAAAAGAGAGTGGGAGAGCGGGTATAACTTTTAGCATTAATAATCAGCACTCCGAACAGTGATGACCGACTAAAAGGAGAGAATCTTTTTTTAATACGGAGTGCTCTTACTTAAGATATAATATGTATCTTTCACCATGAACCAACATATTCAAAATAAAACCATGTTTAAAACAAAATTAATCGAACAATAATCATAGGTTTATTTAATCGAAAGAAAACAGAACATGGAATAAATACATTAATAATGTGAATAGAAATTAATTGAGTGAGTGTTCCACTGCCCACAGAAAACTCACTGTTAAGATATAAAAGTGACCATAAAATATCTCAACCTTAGAATATAACTGTACAATCAGCATGGCTGGCTATATCTGCATCTAGTTATTAGGAAAAAGTCTAGAAGTAATATTGCACGTTTCGCTTAGAATTTCAACTGTACATGACTTTCTTTTTCATTGTCTTACTTTTTCATTGACTCCTACTTTTGTTACTAAGGAAGAATGAGGAAAATACGCCGATAGACAGAGAATAAAAGGAAATAATGATAATATTGTAAAAAAAAAGTCAAGTTGAATAGGAAATGGTAAAATTAAGGTTGTCTTATTTTAAGCATATGAAGATTTGGGTGCCATGGCACTTTTCTAAAGGTCGATGTCCTTGGTTCAGTCTCATCGAGACCCCCAATTTCTTTGCCGATAGGTTTTTTAACGTACTGGCCAACGGTGGCATCATTATCTGGATTGATGCATCTTCGGTGGTTGAAAACACAACGTGAGGGACAGTTGTGATAACCAAGATGATGAGAATGATGCTGATGAGTTTGAGGTTTCGATGCTGACGCTATTAAAGTCATGACCGGATTCGTATCGACGTACAACCAAGATCCTGCATCCATCCGAGGGTCAAAGCAGTGTACCCCATCATATTTACTATTATAAATAAGATAATTTATGGATTCATCGAGTAATGGATACTCGGTAACGGTTTTCGCGTGGATTTTTCCCTGTTTTCTTTTGTGACGATTGCGGCGTGGTGATTCTTCACGTCTTCTAGAACCACAAACAACAAATGTACGTTGAATTTTTTCGCTAACTTCTGAGTAAATATCTTTGATTTTTTGAAAACTCGAAAGACGATGTCCTATAATATTAAAATTTAGAAAACTCAAAATTGCTTACCTACACTTGTCATGCCTGGGCATCACGTGTCGTCAGTTAATCGTCAAATGGCCCCTGGGTGTTCTATAGCACTTGCTCCACGCCTCCAGCAACAGTACACAACTGTGAAACCTATAAAATATGAGCAGTGGTAGACATATCCTCGATACAATACCCCAGGCAAGAACTCCGAAGAATCTCAACTGCAGCTCCTGCGTTATCCAATTTTGCGTAATAACGGTATCGAATGCCCAGAGGACAGCATTACTGAACAGTAAGAATGTGATAACTTGTCTGGAGGGTTTAGTCATCATTTGATAACGCGTGATGCAGGATCTCCGCGAAGCTTCCGCAATAAGTGTACTTTGAGCAAACGATTGAATCAATTGAAGTACTGATGCCGTTAAAAGCATAACGTATCTACCCCTGGTGTCATCATCAATTTGATCATCAATTTTCTTACTGGCTAACGCACAGGAACACACAACAATCGTAAAAACGCAGTAAAGCTGAACTCCAAAGAGGGAAAGATTGGACAAAATATTGTCATGTGACGGGGGAATCCTTGAGACTATGGACATTTGTCTGACTTGCACAAGGCCACTGATGGTCATCATTCCACTCAACGCAAGAATTCCAATTAAAGTGCCAGTGGTTAGCCATGAGAGTGTTGCTGGTGGGAAGTTATCATCTTCTCTCACAACGAGAAAAATTAGTATAACCACGATGCCAGCACTCATACTGAGAATACCAAGGAAAAGACCCTTGGATGAACTATCGCATCCTATCCTTGTGTGGTTTGTCATCTCCTTCATGCTGTGGAATTTCTGCTGCTTGTGGGTGTAGCGCGTTTTTCCTACGTTCCTACCCATTACGAATGTCACTGCTGCTGCTATTAGACTGAATTGCACGATGAAAGGATAGAGAAAGGGCGTACTGGAAATCCATAGCTGACCGAGGGTGTTTGCATTCAGACATTCTTGTAAAGTCACTACTTGGGAGATTTGATCATCTGAAATTGGCTGGTAGGGAAATCGCTGTGGTGGGAGACTTATTTCTGATGCTGTTTGTCCTGAAACAATGGAGTTATTATTCTCTAATTAATATTTCGATCATTGTTAGCTTTCTTTAAATGATAAGATTAAATGATGAGAATAAAAAACTTTTTCGCTATCTTTGAAATTGAATTATTACTCTATGAGTACCGATGAGTACTTACTCTTAAAAATATCACGAACGTGTCTAGTTAAGGATCCGGGTAAGGCGTGTATATTTAAAGACGATGAGGTATTTTCAGAGTCCTTTTGCGCTAAGTGGACAAAATATGTCCACTCCTGTGCGGAATTCCAGATGATTAGTCTTGCCCAAACAGCAATGTTTGTTGCTGCCAGATGAATAAATCCAAATCGAGCAACTAATCCAAAACGTTCCACCAAGACCTTTACAGAACAAGAAATTTGTAATTAAATTAGAGTGCAAATGCAATTTCATTCGAATCTGAAATGCCAGTAATTTGACGTCACATTTAATTTCAGGATTATGTTGCTGTTGTGCACTATTAATAGCAATAGTTGAATATCTTTTGTTGCTGTTATAACTTTTTTAATTCTTGCCAAAAAGTTTATGTTCCGGAATATTTTCGGGAACATCTAAGGGAATTTCGAGAATATTTTATGGAAACAGAGGATTTGTTACACATGCATGCACTAAAACAAAAATTAAGTAATTACCAATCCGTTTCGTAATAAAACTAATTGTATATTTCAGCGGTTCGGGTAAAATTACCGTATCCCTCAAAATTAGTCGACTGCTTAGTAAAAGGTATCCAATCGTTTGAAGAAATGTTCTTATGTTTTAGGTAATTTCTACTCAATTTTTCTCTCCGCGTATGAAAAGGATTGACTTTACGCACTAGTACTCCAATTTACTATTCCGCGCTCGTATCTAAATCATTATGCATTATGCAATTTGATTTATTTAAAAGAGAATGTATAATAAAAAGGAGCGATGAAGAATGATTTTCATATAGTTTAATAAATTACCTGTGAATTAACAAATAAAAAATGCATTTGTAGAAAGGTGAAAAGCCCATGAAGTACAGGATGTACGAAGACGACATCATTGAGACACTCAACCCCCTGCATCATTGAGTGCATTGCCATTTCCAGACCATTAAAAACTAGAGTGGCGAGACCAAAAACTGTAAAAGGAAAAATACAAAGTAAGAGTGAAAATTGTTTAAAATTTACAGATACTTTCATGGATGCGTAGTGGGTACGTACGCAGTGCACCAACACGGATATAGAAGCTCGTGGTTGCAGTTTTAGATCGTGATATGTGGGCTTTCTTGAGGGAACCAAATCGCGTGAGTGATGCTGTACCAAGTTCAGCGTCATCGCTGCAATTCGCCAGACTTCCGCAACTATCGACCAGCACCCAAAGATAGATACTCATGATGACAATGATGCTACCAACGTAGAGATACATTAGAAAAACGCTCTGTAGTAACAAAAAAATTGTCCATTTTAACATAAACTATTGTCTCACGCAGGAAAAATAAAAATATAGATTAATAAATTAATTAAACTCATATTAGATACTCATGATGACAATGATGCTACCAACGTAGAGATACATTAGAAAAACGCTCTGTAGTAACAAAAAAATTGTCCATTTTAACATAAACTATTGTTTCACACAGGAAAAATAAAAATATAGATTAATAAATTAATTTAACTATATTTCAAAGGAAAAATATCCTCATGTAATTCAATAGCGAAGCGGTAAAACGGCGGAAAGCGTCTTTTTTTTTATTGAATTTTTTTTTTTATTATACCTCTCGAGGGTACATCGCACACCTCACAGCGACATATCGTCATATCTAATTTTTTTGTAATGGAAATTAATGGATTAGGTTGCAACTCTAATACCAAACGAACTATGTTGACAGAAAGCAAAAAATCATCATTTTTAAAGAAAGCTAAAATACCAAGAGAGATAAATCGGAGACGTACGTAAAGAATGCTATATATTAAATCGGACAACATTTTTCCTCGCCAACTTTCTGGAATTTCCGAGATGAAACTGTTTGGCAGTCCTGAATATGAAATTTTTATCGCATTACAAAATCTGTTGAACTTTCAGTCTATCTTCTTGAAAATTGCGGAGTTCACAGAAAAATCAAAATCAATCAGAACTGCAAATTCCTACTGAACTTTTCTCTCAAAATGAATACAAAGCCATGTACTTTCGATATATATATATATATATTCCTGAATTTTGAGGTCAACAACATTGAATCCGATTTAAAGGATTCATGACGGAAATCATGAGGTTTCAGCTTTCAGAATTTCCCATAATATGCAGAGAAATCTGAAATTTCATCATTTTTTTTCCAACTTCAAATACGTCTAGTGCCTCTGTCTTGAAAATAGGCCGTCAACTAGGCAGGGAATTAAAATTTTCTTCTAACAGTACTTTCGAAGATAATTCTGCAAAGTTTATGCGTTTGCATAAGTACCTAGACTTATTTTATATCCGCTGACGCCTCGATGACAGCAATGCTCATCAGCTGTCTTAACTATTATAATCTACTCGTCCATCAGTAACTGACGGGCTTACATAAAATGTAACAATCCGTTTTATAAATTTTTGTCACTCAGTCCGTGAAGCTTAATGACCATTGTGCAGTCGTTAAATCCTGCCGACGAATTGAATGACAAAAAATATCGTTCGTCACTCGACCGAAAAGAACTTCTCTGACGATTTATTTATTTATATTTATATTATATTTATATTCCTCGACTTATCGAACTCGAGAGAATAACGTAAGAAAACCCTTTTAGAATAGGGACGTACGGAGAACATTACCGCACCGCTCAGTAAAAAATGTCAAGTGCTTAGTAAAAATTATCTAACGAGCGACCAAACTTTAGGACTTTGGACTTGCATTCCCTCGGATTTATACATCATCATTACAAAAATACAGTGGGGGGATAAACTAATGGACATCACTAAAAATGTTAATGTATTGAATAAAAAGCGACGCATAAAACTAATTATTTATTCGTTTATGAATGCAATTATGTCTTTTTGGAGTCGATTTTTATCCAATGGATTGGCATCTTGAGTTCCATTAACTCATCCTTAAAATCATGCCTATCATAACTCATCCATACGATAAAGTCTTCATTTTCAAAAGCAATCATAATTTTTTCTTAATTCTCCATTTAAAATCGAACAATGCCCTTAAAAACGGAGAATACTTTATAAAAAAATGCAAATAATATTTGGCGAGAGCATAAAATCGTTTACGAATCCACAATAAATATTTAATATGAATAATTCAGCAGAACAACTTCCGGTTAAACTGCTATTTTTATTAAACTAAAAAACAATCCGTATAATTTAGTATTCCAGTGTTTTGGAGCGGGAGGTAAATCGTACTCTCAGTTGGATTGAATTCAAGCAATTTCACTCATTTGTAGAGGCGAATTAGAAATCGAGTTTCTCGATCGAGTGATCAGATAATCTCACTGTACCGACCACAAATCGTGATGCGCTGTTTAGTGTACAACCACATGGATACCTTGAGAATCCTTTGAATGTATCAGTTGTAGTGGATAGATAAGTATCTCGAATGGGCAAAGGAAAGGAAAAAGAATGAAATGAGAAAAACTCTGTCTTTTTCTGATGTTTAAATGTAAAACGAATTGATGTTTACCTGAAGGCTTAATAGAGTAATTGGTGTGTCGATCACTTCTACGAGGCATAGTGCAACCATCAGAACAATTATTAACTCCCCGTAGACGTTTGAGAGAACAATCCATAACTGGGAACTGAAAAAAAATTAAAAACAAATTATACAATGTTGTGTCAATGTCAAGATGTAGACTAGATGCTATAAATTATACTGAGTCTCTGAAGAATAATATAAAAGTTTATATTAACATATTTGACTACATCGGCAGTTAGGTGTAATTATTAATAATATTTAGATAAGCTAATTAATTCAGTGGAAATTATTTGCCATCAGAACACTGAGTTGTCTGGGAAGCAGAAGAAATAAATAAAATAGCCGATGGAAAAAATACTCAGAGGAAAATTTACTAGAACTCGTGTCACAATTCCGATTACTTTGTAATCACAGTTTGACGGGGGTTTGCCTCAGAAATTCGGGAGAAATATTTGAAGAAATCCGATCTGAATCATTTCTGTCGATTTTTATTCTTAAAATTTTATGAATATACTAATCTCAATTGATTTAAGGACCGGTTGGATTATCTGGAAAAGATCATTTACTCCAAAATTGGGATTCTTAATTATTCTGGCAATTAATCGTTTTTTTTTCAATAATTGTTAGCTAGCGTTCTAGCGGTTGTCAACGACTAGAACGCTAGCTAACAATTATCGGAAAAAACAATTAATTGGCGGAGTAATTAGGAATCCCAATTTTGGAGTAAATTATCTTTCCGAGATACTCCATCCGGCCCTTAACATAAATTACATCTTTAATGAAATCTTTTTTTTACCAAAAAAACAGTTTTTAACACACTTGCACGAGAAGTTGACACTTTGCTCCCTAATGATCGGAGGAAAGTGAATACTTTCCGCCCTCGGGTGGAAAATCTTGAACTTCTTTAGGTTGGTATTTTATTCCTCAAAAGTTAATGATAGTTTCCTCGAAGTCGAATAGAAAGATTAAGGAATTCGAATAAAATCGCCGATTCCTATTAATTAATTAATTATAATTAATGAATTATTAATCCAGATTCTACTTGTTTTTCATTGAACAAGGGCCTTTTGTAAAATGGGTCCAGAGCGTGAAAACTTTGGTTGTTATGAGTCAACAGAGTTGCAAAGGTCTGGAAAAAGATATACCTTCTGAGTGTGTTTAATAAAAGTTAATGTCTAAGCCTAATCAGTTTTATTATCTACTAATTTTTAAATTTACTATCCATAATCCAATATGGACCGTATGGAATACGGACTCCTTAAAAAATGAAAAAACTCTCTTAGTTTACTTACAATGGCTCTGATTGATCCAAGAGATCATGATCCGGGGATCTCGCTCTCGCGAGAATCCTCGACAGAAGGGATTTAGGTGGTGCCGTTGTGGAAATAGGTCTTTCACCAGTTCTCGTCATATGTGGATCACCAGATTCTGCTGTTGGCTCACTTCTAGTATTTATTCCGTTCCGAGAGTGGTTTCCCTCCACTGTTCCACCAGTTGTACTTCCCGTCTCATTCAGACTATCTTTATCATGTATTTCATTATGTGCTGCATCTGAAAAAGACGATATCATCATACATAAATTACAAAATATACTTGAATGCATAACAATGATAGTAATAATAATTATTTATTTATTTAATCCAGTAGCGAAACAATGGAATCGTTCAATTGGAAAAGAGTAAATTTCGCAGGAATGCCGAAACACTAATTGTCATGACTTTATTACGGATCTGTGACAATTAATTAAGAATTTTATTTGATATTTCGTCAGTTGTATGTTCATATTAATATTTATAAGATTTATTTATCAAAATTCGACGTGAGTTGCTGTTTTTTGTTGAAAGCTACGTGTGGGCTTTGTCCCTTTTTTTAAATATCATTTTTCGCTTCATGCCGACGTAACTCGTTTGGAACTAGAGTTGCCACTTCACTCATTCTTTTTCATTACAAAAAATCATTACATATGTGTGAGGTCTGCGTTTTACCCTCCAGTTGATTTCAGTGATAAACGCATTTTCAAGGAAAAATCCTTTCCACCGTTTTACCGTTTCGCTAATGAATTACAAAATAGATTTTTAATCCTGAGTTTATTCAATTCAGTTTACTGGCTAGCTCTTGTCTGCACTTGTAATCATTTTGACATGCAGTGGAATTAGGATTCCGTTCCGAGAGGAATTACTATTACTAGTAATCAGTTCATGGAATTTTCAATTAGTTTTACCAGAAAATTGTAATATGACAATCAGAAATCTATTTTCTCGTAATTTTTTGTCAATTGTTTTCGACTTTTGTATATATATGGAGTATATATATGGACTTGTGTATTCGCTGAATTTTTTCACATACGAAATACCTTGAAATGAAGATCTCAAATATTTTCGAGTCCTTTGCAGGCGGCGAAGGAATAAATAAAAGAATGAAAATCTAAATTCGAAATTATAAAGGAAATAGTTTTGGATTTCACTCCTGGATTCATGACAGCAGCCAGTTCATTCACTAAAACGTTTTACAAAGCCCGAAGTAAAAAAAGCGGAACACACCGTATCTCAGATTTTATTTATTTTCTTGACAATGACATAAACATCTGTTCTGTCATGATAAAAAAATTGAAGTATAGTTATTAGATGTCTAGGCTGGTGTAGGAATAAAATACGTGACTGAGAGACCGTTAAATTGACTCGCCGAATATGAGAGAGTAAATATATCATTATATGTGCACGCGATGAATCTTATTTCTTATAGACTATTCTAGTCCTGACAGCATTCCATTCTGAACTCAGAAAATTATTAATTTGAATTGGATGAATATTCTAGAGGATGTTCTCCAGTGAAAGTTTTATTGGCGGGCCATAAATGCCTGTTTTAAATTTTTAATCAAGTTCTACTTTATTAAAAAGTAGAATACGAAATAATCAAAATGTTTTCTAATCAGTTCTCTGTGATTTGTTGAATGTTATGCAATAAATATTATCTTATTTCGGCTAGACTTCTTGGCGAATTCCCAAAAAGTCAGGAAAGAATGTTGAAAGGCAATCAATCATTGCATATCATTGTAAAAGGTGATGATTTATTGATGAAAATAGTAAATAAATATTGAAGAAAAGGTATAACTCAAGAATTATATTTTTTTTTGTCTCAATCTGGTCAAAAGTTTGCAAAAAATCTACCAAAATAAAATAAAAAATGGTAGAATGCTAAGGTACATCTCTGGAGAGTTAATGTCGATATCTTCTCCTTTTTTATGTTTTTTTATGTTTTTTGGAAGTTTCTGGAACCGTGGGAAATATATCGTTTTCGTTCTATCGGTCGATTTCCATATTTCATTTTCAATTGCTCTTCTTACTGGTGTTTTTAATTCAAAATTTTCAATCATATCAATTTTATTTAATATTTTTGTTAACAATTTGTAACAGACACTGCGAACACTTCTCAGAGTGGATACAGGCCTTTTATTTATTTATCCGATTTTTTCGGTTTTCTGTAGATTTTGATTTTTGCGATAAAATTTAATAGCCCGTTTTCTTAAAAGACCGCGTTATTCTGGCATTATCTGAATAATTATTATCGATAATAGTAGACTTAAAAAATTGCACCCAAGCTTGACCTGCATTTTCCCATTGTTATTAACATTAGTTATAATTAGTTATTAATTATATATGAGTGGAGATTTTAGATTTTAATTTTGGAAATTCGAATTATGGATGTACTACTTCAAGTGGGGAATAACAATGTATCGGGCTTGACCGGGATTTTTACATTTAATTGCATTTTGGGAAATTATTACCGTTGAGCCGCAAACTGTGCGGTCCATATTTAGCTTCACCTTTACGACAATTTGCGGTGCGATTCTTTCACCGTATACAGAGAGAAAAATTTCTCAAAGCTTAATGTCTCTTGAAATAAAAAAAAACCTTTATGTATTTTCTTGTCAAGGCATGGAGGGGCACAAGGAAGTTGACGAAGAGACTGAAAAACTAGTTTCCAGAGAAAAATTTAAAACTGATTTAAGATCATTGTTATTTCATTGGTAATATACATTAATTTTTAATTTTTTAATTAAGATCGTTATTATTTTCTAATGTATTTGTCGTTTTTTCTAGCGCACTTGCAGCACCAGTAATTGTTGTGAACAATATGGTGGAGGGTGGCGAGGGGGG